CGAGATATTCAATTTTTAAGTTGCCTTCTTTTCTAAATTACTGTAGCTGACGAAAAACTGGGAAGGAGTATAAATCCTCATTATCTATTGTGGCTATGCATATTTATAGTAACCTGAATACGTCACTAGGTCCATTAAATACTCATTAAATATTGCTTAAATGCATAGTTGGTAACAAGCCTACATTAGCTGGTCCATCTGAGCATAAAACCTTTGCCAAAATTACCAAATATTTAAGAGATTTTAAGTGAACACTACCATAAGTCCATAACACTAAAATAATGTTTCTTACACAACAAGAAAAATTCCAAACCGATTTTCATGACATAGGAACTTTATTAAAGTACTGTACTTCCAATCAATAAATCATACAATTAATATGGAACGACTTTAAGTGTCAAACGTGTCAAAGCAAAAAATAATATTATAAACATTTAACTTTTTTTTAATTCCCAAGTACCTGAATTCCTCAAATGCATCTATAATAACAGGGTATAGCTTGGTTGATGATGTTTTTGTTGTTATTTTGGTCGAATTTGTTATCTCAAATCCTTGACAAATACTCTTTAAAGAAGCATGACATTCCAACTGGATTCCATGAATTAATTCGAAGCAGTGCTGTAGACTAAATTTACCAGAGGGGGGGCTCTCTTGATGAGTGTGAAGCCCTCAAATCGTAAAAAAGCGTGACGTCATCGTATGACGTAATGACATAGTCATAGATCATAACTCATAATAAGTCTCATATTAAATAGACCTTAAATTCTTAATGCCTGGAATATAGGCACACGCGTACCGATATACGTGACGCTCTGGCTCAGCGGATTAAAAAATTAACGATAATATTATGAATAATGAAAACATTATGTATACTATTACTATTAGCCTAGTACTAGACTACTAGCATTTTGAAACAGTAATACTAGCTTACAAAAATAACGCAATTAATCATTATCCACCACTTACCCCTAATAGGCAATAACATTAATAAATAGTTTTGTCTTATTTGTTCATTATCAATCGATGAAACGTAGGTTTAATGTGAAGTTTGTGAACCAAGTCCATCATCTCTTATCTTTTGTGTGTTGAGTGGAGCTATATCTCTATATTAAACTATAGAATACCGATTTAGATGTTAACGTAAAGCACTGAGGCTACAAAAAAGAAGTTTCATTTAAATGCCAGTAAAAAAGTGAAAGTATACGTCTCAAGTCATAATCTATATATAGCCATGCATAATCCATAATGCAAGTTGACGACTTGACCTCGACTTTCGTGTTACGCTGTTACCGAGTATTACTTTACAAAAAATCGTTGTAAAGGTGTGAGCTCTGCTTCTGTCGTCTGCTTCATTTTTCTAGTTTGATTATTTTCAGCAGACTTGTGGTGTTCCAGCCATTGTTGGACAGCTAAACTTGCCTCCCAAAATTGTACTGGCGGACCATTGATGCTTATGAACATCAAGGAGGATAAATGAGAAACAGACATGCTAGAGCTCGACTTTGTACACACTAAGTTCATTTGTGAAAATCCCCTCTCTGCCTCTGCACTACTAACTGGTACAATTTGAATAAGCCCTTTTAGGAGCCTTTCTTCAACAAGCGAGGGAATGTTTCGAGGATCATTGAAAAATTCTCGATACGATGTAACTATGCCTGTCGCATTGATGTTAAATCTCTCGCAAAGTGATATGACATCTTGCTCACCTTTGAGCCATGGAATCTTTTCCCCCCTTGACCATTTTTCTGGGCAGAGGGATTCAATTTGATTTAACAATATTTTCTCAGATGAAACGATCATCCTTCTTTGGAGGTTATCAATCAAACCCTGTAGAAATTGCTTTCGGTTGAACGATTTGTATCCAGTCCGGGACTGAAATGACTTTAACTCCACGCCTTTAAACTCTACTGAGGAATCGTAAATGTTCCTAAATTCATACTTTGTTTCCAAAGAATCTTTTATCTTTTCCAGTGCGTTTATCGTCCATTGCAAGTAGTCAGATGCTTTAAGGAGCGTGGTGCGATCCTTCTGTAGTGATTCGGACAAGATTGAAAGTTGTCCAAGGCAGTCTTTCATAATAGCTACGTCTTCAACGAACTCTATTGTTTCCATACGTTTTACTAATCCCGCATATGTTGCTTTGTGCTTGTCGTTGGACTGTGAAAGTGTGTGGAAATGCTTGTATAGTGCAGGATAATTTCTCCAAAAAGATTCTACCGCACGGGACGAAGATGCAACCCATCTTGTTGTCAAAATTTTGTCTACTTTGCGCAGCTGAACATCTAGTTCGGCAGCAATATTCTTCAGCTCTCTTTGCAGTTTTGCTGACTGAGAATAAATCGTGTAAATCCTACCGAAGAAATCTTCAATAGGTTGGGTACCATCAACAGCTTTTATTGTATCTGATACCGCTAATTCTAATCTGTGATTGAGACAATGCCACAAAACAATTTGCGGATACTTCGACTTAAGTAACGTCGCGACCCCTTTGATTGCCCCC